CTCACAGCTGCAGCTTTGCTATCCACGTCGCCACTCGTCGGAGTTTAGGACTGTGGCCGTGTGGCTCTCTTCAGTGGCCTCACTGACCCACTTAGTCGTGCTTTTAGAGTTTCGGACAGTGACTTGCTTTCTGTGCTCTGCGGTTTACACGTCACGGTGGCTGTGCTGAGCACTTAGTTGAGGTTATCACCGTGGCTTTGTGACTATGCTCTGTTGTGAGCATTGTGGCTACGCTAAGTTGCTAACCCAACATAGTCGTGCTTAGAGAATAGCGCTGTTTGGCTGTATAGCTGTGCCCAGTCATTAGTACGTACGATGGGCGAGGTAACTTCGTTCTCATGTTTAGAGGTTAGCACTGTGGCTGTGTGGCCGTGCTAAAGGCCGGTAGTACTATGGCTCTGCTAAACCGCTTCGTGCTAAAGGCCGATAGTATCAGGGGTGTGCTAACCGCTTTGTGGCCATGGTCAGAGCCCAGCACTGCGGCTGTGTGGCCGTGCTCAAGGCAGCTACAGTCTTCACCCGAATAGAACGCCTGGTAATTATGGCCGTATGTGGACTGAAAGTTGTATCAAATACAGCTATAATGACCAGGCGTTTTATTCGGGTGACGACGGTAGTACTATGGCTCTGCTAAAACTGCTTTGCGCTGCTTAGAGGTTGGCACTGCAGCCGTTTGGCTATGACGAGTGGCCGGCAGTGCTGACTACGTGGCATTGTGTGGTGCTGTAACCTCAGCCTTGCAGTAGTGGGTGTGCTATGCTAACCCAAATCTTGTAGTCGTGGCTGTGCTAACCACTTAAATTGTGAGTTTCAACTGAGGCTTCATGCATGCATGTATTGAAGGCAACTATCCAGGTCCTTTCATGCATGTATTGAAGGCAACTATCCAGTCGTATTCATTCATACATTCATACGTTACGATCCCCACGAATTCAACGCACTGTACTTGTCAGCTGCTTCTCGATTGGCTGGCCTAACGACAAAGTATCACTGGAGCTTGCATAGCGTGCACATGTGGCCTTTGTAGCAAGCTGGAGGAAGACTGATTTAGCTCACTGTACTTATCAGTTGCTCGATGGGCTGGCCTAAGGACTAGTACGTATCACTCAAGCTTGCACAGTGTGCGCGTGTGGCCTTTGTAGCAAGCTGGAGGAAGCCACCATAATACTAAGTGAAAATTAAGATCCTCACAATAGGCCTTGGCTCAGACTCTTGCCCCCTTCGCCTCCCCTCTCCGCCCCCCCCCCCCCCCCCCCGAGCAGGTCCGTATTGTCCTTATTCCTACACTTCCCACTAGCTGTGAAAGTCAATCACAGGCTACTCACAGTGGTAGACAGGCCTACATCCACCGAGTCACTACAACTGCATGCACGACGCATAATTTTTTGCTGACGTCTTTCTGGACAGGGTCTAGGGTCTATCATTTGCAAATAAGTATTTCGACAGCTGGCCGTGCCTGACTCGGACAACTTCCGGAGCCTGGACTTATCCTCCAACTCATTCTGGCAACGAACGTGCCTGTCGTCACAGTGGCCAGTGGCTTGACGGTTTGCTTGCAGCGGGTTGCTCTTGAATTGCTTACCGAAACGGAGACATGAGTTTAAGTTGCAGACATAGCTGGCCTTGAGTTATCTCCATAACAGAGCTTGAGTTGCAGCAGAAAGAAAGTCGGCGGGGAGGTGCAGCAGCAGTCCGCTGTCCGTAGAGATGCAGAAGCACGTGAGGTTACGTCGAGAAAAATCGTACGGTGTTTGAGGTTTTAACCATAACATAAAAAAGTGGGAGGTAGCATTTAAACACCTTTACCCGGTCTGAACACCATGACGGTGTTTGGGGTTTTAAGTTTTAACCATAACACCAAAAAGTGGGGGTAGATGTTAACCACTTGCTCAATTGCTGCAGGGGCAGGGGCTGGGATAAAAAGAAGGGGAAACTGCTCCTGAGTCTCCTTTTTAAGTTTTTAGTTTGAAATAGGGAAGGAAAGACAAAATGGCACTGATGTCATTGTTTGAGTTTCAAAATTTTAATGTGCAAGTTTAGGGGGGAGGGGGGTTGAAACTGAGGCCGTTCTTTTTGAAGTGGCACGAATGCAGATTTAGCGGCTTTTTTTTTTTTTTTTTGCCCTGTTTCGAGCGAGAACTGCTGAAGTTGCCTATTAGAAGCGCTGGGTGTGTGACACAGGAGCCTTTTGACCCCGCCCCAACAACCCTCCCAAAAAAAAAAAAAAAAAAAAGGCCTGCGACACTTAGAGCAGCAGGAAAAGCACTCAAGTAGTAGGTAGGCCGGTACCACTCAAGTAGCGGTAGATGTGTCGGGGAGTGGAGGCCGAGCAGAAGAAGACAAAAACTTGGCATTTTAGAGACTTGGCATTTTAGCGACCCAGTAGGTGTAGGCTAGGTCTAGCTAGGCAGGAACGGTCCATGTAGTCTGAGTCTAGGGGCTGTACGGACCATACCAGAGTCTGCAATGATGTTTCCCTTCGAAAGGGATGAGGTACGGGTTGCTTGGAGGCCGTGCAGCCTGGAAGTCACCGCCCAAGAGGCAAGTTGGCCGCTATATGTCCAGGAGGAGCAAAGAGCTCCTTCTCATTTTTGCGGCGTGCAAGTTTGGAGACACGCTGCTGGAGCGCTGGTTGGAGCAGCGCTGTGGGGAAGAAGGACGCCCAGCTCTCCACCTTGGCTATGGTGGAGGAGCTCGGGTAGGAGGAGGAGGAAGAAGGGACTAGGAAAGGGGAGCGCCAGGGGTACTTACCTGGCTATGGTGGACACCATCTTCATCACCTTGATGGGCGCTGCATCTGGAAGGCCCCATAGGGGTAGAGCCACACCAAGAAGCTTCGAGACAGAGTCAGGCATGGCGGCCTGAGTGGAAGTGGCCATAGCGGCTTTGCGTTGTCTTTTTCACGTCAGGGCAAGTCCCTAGTAGTCCACCATAGCCTCGGCCTAGACGAAGAGGAACGAGGAGGGCGGCCATGTCTATGGTGGACCTCAAGTCGTGCTGGCAGTAGAAGAGGGATTCGGACATTGATTCTGGTTCTGCCATTCATCATTATGATTATTTATTGTGTGAATAAGAGGGGAGGAGAAAAGGAGGAGAAGTTTGGTTGGCGAGGAGAAGGGGGATTATCATTGGTCTTTGCTGGTGTACATTTGCTTCTTCTTCTTTCTTTCTTCTTCTTCTTCTTCTTCTTCTTCTTCTTCTTCTTCTTCTTCTTCTTCTTCTTTCCCTCTCTCTCCTCTCAAGTGAATTCATTTCTTTTTGCAATTGGACGGCGTTGTGCTTTCTTGTGAATTTGCACTTCGAAATTGGCCAGGATCATAACACATGAGAGTAGTGACAGACTGTTTCGTCGGACTTGCACCGGCTTATCAAGAGATTGAACCCTGGATAGTCTGCATGATGCTTGGAGTCATAAACTGCTTTAGACCCTGTTGAGTGTGAAAACACAGAGAAGTATGCAGCACGTCATGAACAAGGCATCTTATGGCAACGCATAGTGGGCAGGCAGGCAGGCAGGTGAGCATGCACACAACAACACAGCAAGGGACTCAACACAGTGTGCACCAGGAAGCATATATCATTGGCGAGCAGGTCGCCAGTCATACACCAATGCAGCAACACACAAATCCATGGACGCAGCATGGATCAGAGTGGCGTATCACCCGTCCTTCTGGACAAAAGTGAAAATTGGAACAATACAGAGAAGATTGGCATCACCCCTGTGCAAGGACGACACACATACATCGAGAAATGGTCCAAAATTTCCTCTCTGTAAACAAATAGCTTGGCCCTCACAATGAGAAGGGTGCAGTGAAATACGATGCTCAATGTCAATTGCAGAAATCTGTGAGCTGCCAATACCTTGAATGCACTTGGCGCCAAACGCTTCTGCCAAGGGAGCGCCCGCCTGAAAAAGAACATAAGAAAAGGTGGACTATCACTTACTCACATCATATAGGAAACCGTGCAGGCTGTAGGTACATGACAACAGGCCGCAAACACTGCCAGTTTCCTCCTTCGCTGTGTCTTGCTGCCCCGTCCCTTCCATTTTAGACCCCTCTCTGCCTTCAAAGGTCTCCTCGTCTGTTCACCGACACATCAGGGGCCAGTCTTCCAAGGGCCTTTTCCTGGCCTGACATCAGGGTCTACACTATCAAGAGCCACAAGCCACGAGAGGAATGTATGTCACACAGCAGACAAGAGCAGGAACGACTGTTGTTCTTCTCATCATTGTTGTTGTTGAGAGTGATAACAATGACAAGTACAAGAGTGACAATCATGACAACGCTGTGTGTGTGTGTGTGTGTGTGTGTGTGTGTGTGTGTGTGTGTGTGTGTGTGAGAGAGAGAGAGAGAGAGAGAGAGAGAGAGAGAGAGAG